CCCCAGATTCGTGACTTATTCATTCGGGGGTGCAGCCTGAGCTCTGAGACTTGGAAAATATTCCCGGGTGATTCTAATGTGCAGACATGTTTGGGAGCTTGTCAGTTAGAACTTACCAGATGGGAGAAGTCCAGCCCTGTGGTTCCTGACTTTTCTAAAATCAATAATTATAGTCACTTCAGTGAATATCATTTTTGGCTGCTTCTGATCACTAACAACCTGTCCGTACGGCCTCTAGCTTACTGTTTCTAATCCATTGTGGGCTTTTAAACAGTCTGCTAACTAAGCCTATTAAAACTGGATAAGAAATAAAAATAAATCTGCTCAGTTGAGAATCAGTTTCCTTCATCTACACACACTTTGGTATACTTTTAGCTTCTTAGAAGCCTTTGTCGGGTGCAGCCAGTTGGGGAGTGTGGCAATTTCTTATAAACTTAAATAAGTGCTTATTAACCCACTTCCCCTACTTTAGGTATTTACCTAGGAAACATGAAAATATATGTCCACACAAAGGCCTGAATGTGAATGTTTATTACAGCTTCTTTCATAATTTCCAAAAACTAGAAACAATCCAAATGTCCACCCACAGGGAAATGGAAAAAGACACTGTGCTCTGTCCATAAAACAAAATGCCACTCTGCAGTGAGGAGAGCAAAGGGTTACACTAGGGTCACATAGGGAAAGGCGCTCAGAGCATGCCACGTGCCCTGTGATTCCACTTATATGACAATCTGGAAAAGACAAAACTTTTGGGACAGAAACCAATCAATGACTGCCAATGACTGGGGTTTGGAGGGGGGACAAGAGGTGCGAGGGAATTTGGGGGGGGGTGATGCAAATATCCTGTATATTGACTGTAGTGACTGTATATTACACAGCTGCATACATTTATCAAGTCATTAAAACTATACACCTTAAAAGGGTGAATTTTACTGTGTATAGATTATACTTCAATAAACCTGACTTTAGAAGAGTACATAAAATATCTTTAATTTTTTAAAGTCAAAGATTCTTGTTTTCTTAAAAATTGTGAAAAGAGATACACACAGTTATATTGAGCTAATATATGGCTATTGGCTTTTTTTTAATTTTTATCACTGACATCTCCAAGTAAGAAACACTAGAAAAGGTGTAGGATCATTTTCAAAGGCCAGTATTTTTTTCTTACTATTTACATTCTTTAAGATTTTCTTTTTCTACAGTTATAGATAGGTCTCAATTGTAGTGGCTAAAGCTGATTTATGTTTCTTAGGCAATTGGAGTATGAAGCAAAATAAATCTTAGACCACTTCTTTTCTTATACAAATGTACAAAATAGTAAAAGTGTCCAATTTTATTTGCAAATTATATATCACAGATAGCAGTAGTTTTAAATTTTAATTAATATAATCGCCCCGTTATAGTATATTCTTAAAGTTCTCAATCACCACTTCCACTAATATGATCCCACTATTAAAATGTCAGTCTCAATTACTTTCCAGCCACTTATACCCACTAGTTCAATTCCATTTGGCCCCTGGACTATTAGTTGTGTGTTACACAAGGCAAAAAGTTAAAAACAAGTTTGTCTTTGAGTCATTGAAGCACCAAGGATTTGTAATAGTTATATAACTTGCTGTTAGAAAGGTGTGTATTTGGCCAATGTGCTATTTACACACTTAAAAGTATCCCTTTTCAATGAAATCATAAATAATAGAAGTTTGAACCAAATTTGTAATCATCAAATACGAATCCTAGAGCCTCACCAATGGAAAAAAGGCAAAATAAGCATTAGCAATCTGTGGAATGTTTTTTCAATAAAC